TGTAGTGCAATGTGGCGCCGCAATTGTATTTTATAGATTTATATCTACCTACGTACATACATATGTATATATTTTGTAAACTTCTGCGGATTCTTAGTCAATTAAGTTGAAAAAGCGTATTTATGTATGTATAAATTCCATTGATTTAATCCGTGTTAGTCGAGCCAACAGATTAGATGCGGATTCTAGAATTGATCGCACACTAAAAATAAAATTTACATATACATACACACATAAACAAACGTGCATCTGCGCGTGAAGGGAATGGAATGGCGAACGGGAAAAAAAAACTATAAAATTTTGACCTTTAGAGAACCGGTATTGAAGAAAATACGTTGACTTTTATACACTAATAAATAGAATATCACCTGTATGTACATGTGTGCATGTATGCGTGTACCTATAAGTGATCGTTTGAGTTAAATGCATGAGCCGCACAGCAAGAGCGCCTATAAATACATATTTATGTAGCTAAAAACATTTGTTTATAATTACTAGATTTCAATAAAAAGTACATCGGCGCACATGAAAACACAAATAAATTTATTTAAAAGAATATCCACAGATATGTACGTCATGTGATATACAAAATTTAGCTTTTTTCAATTTGTATTTGCGCCAAAATGACGTTGGCATAAATAAAATAACAAAAAATAAAAATAAAAAAAAACGAAAGACGGCTCAAAATCAAACGCAGATATGTACATATGTACATATGTATGCATATATTTATTTTTACTTGGCCTAAACGAAGTGCTAACATATTCAACGACTTTGTATGTTTATATGTACATACATACATATGTATATACAACATAAATACGAGTGCAAAGAGTCAAAAATAAATTCGATGTGTGGCTTTCTTGTATGAGTAAAAAGTATTACTCTGACTGTACAACAAGTGTAGGAATAATTTTTTTTTTATTTTTTTTTTTTGTAAAAAAAGAAAGAAAAACTGCTCGCAATTTTAAAACGAAAAATACATGAAGGTACTTACATATGTACATATATATTTATTTATATTCATGTTTTTTTCACTGTGCGTGTTTTTTTTATATTATTTTCCTGTTGCTTAAGAAACAGCTAAATCAACAGAAGCCAAGTTCATATGTTATTATTAATAATTTTTAATACTTTTATATAATTTAATATCTCTATTTGAGCAATTCTATCTGCAAACATATACAGTAGACATACAAACATAATATAGAGATATACTCGTACTGGCATTGGCGTTAATTTGACCAACATTGCCATATCTGCTTGAAACACGTGCGTGCGTTTGAAATACTCGTTCTATTTATATATATGTGTCTGTGTATATGTATGTATGTCGCCGCAACAAATAGCATACAGAAACTACAAAGATGGGGGCTCGTCTCTCTTATACCTATATACATATGTACATATATACTATACACTAATACTTAAACGTCTTACATGTATACACTTTAAATTATAAAAAGAAAACAAAGCAAAATTTGCTTACATTGAAAAATAAAAATATATTTACATATATGGACACTTTGTGTATTTGTAATACCTGCGAGCAAATATTTATTACACTAAAAAAAATTGCCACTTTATAAAATTAAAAGAAGGAGTATTACATTTTAAATGTTTTTTTTTTCTTTGAGCACAATTTGCCATTGTCTATAATGGAAATAAGTGGTTTCTGTTTTTTTCGGGTATTCTCAAGCATATAAATACACACATTCATATGTACATATTTCACGGTAATACGCCCTCTCTATGTCATTGAAAATATTGCGCCCTTTTTAATAGGACTCACTGCCTTTTATGATAAAAATAAACAATTTGACATATTCTTCTGTTACATATTTCTGCTATCTGTGACCATAAACTCGATTTTTCGTACACTTGCTCTATTTCCGGTTTATGTTTATCGCTATTTATGACCTTGAGTATGCATACGCCCTGCAAGTTAGGGGCTCAAGAATTTACCCGTGGTAAGGCATGCCTGTCGTAAGAGGCGACTAAAATCCAATAGTTGCCGCGACAGTCGGGTCTTTATACCGGAACGACCCGGATTTTTATCCGGCCAAGCATTGTCACACCCGCAACATTCCCCAAAAAGTACTTTGGGGAAAAATTTTGCGGTTACAACAACTACAACAATCTTGTGTATACACAGGTTCCGTTATACCATATCTGATTTAACCTATTCTGCTCTATTCCTCGGTCTCTGATAATCGGCAATGTGTTTGCCCTACTCGGTCTTCTAAATACTTGCAGATTCATGGTATGCCATATTCCACTTCTGTCAAATTATGTATTTTCCCTTGCTTGCGATTAATTATATACTCGTACAACAAGTTAACGATGGTCTCTGCTCCTTCTAATACGTTGTATCTTAATCTTAATTTTAAAAATAAAATATTATGTATAAGTTGAAATGCATCAACAATCATCAAACATATTCCCCAAGCAATTAAATAGTTTTCATTCGTATTTTAACTGATTTTTGTACGCAAAATGAAAATAAGACGTTAAATATCGTTTTGGGAGTATCGACATATGGCTTCAGCATATGGGTAACTCTATTTATAGTATACGCCTCATCTTTGTGTACATACATGTATGTATAATATATGTACACACTAAAACATTATTATAACACACAATCACATATTAGTTGCCATATTTGCTTACAAACCTATACATATGTGTGTATCCGTTGTGTACTTCCGCCAAAAAAGCTCTTATGTTATTACCACCCTGTCTTGACTAAAAGCTATTCATGGGAGTCACCCCACACTTTAAATGGCGGCCGCTGCTTCATTTGTTTACTTGCGAAGTGCACCTTGACGCCGCAAACAGGCATGCAAATGCACTTCATCACTTAATTGAGGCACCGGAAAACGCAACACTTAAATAATTAACGAAAATGTGAAGAATATAAAACTACTACACATACGTACTTACGCGAATTTTTATGTAAGTTGAGCGACTCAAATGAGTAGCGAATTAGCGGAACTCGTTTCCGTTTTCATAATGGCGGCTGCATTGGAGTCAAAAATTGTTTGCACAACACTTGCGAATACACTAAATGGGTGTTATTACTACAATTTTTATTAATTAGCGAATATTAATGCGAAAATTTAAAACTAATTAACTATTTAATGATTGTTAATTTCAGTCTCGATATGTTACACTAATTTTATATAAACAAATTTGAGGAGTAGCCTCAGCTGCAGCAGAGGAACAACTGAATTCAACGATTGTGGCAAAAACAATGTATGCATATATGTACATATGTATGTGTGTGCGTGTATATTTTTTAGTGAATGACAGTATTTGTTGCTGGCTAACATGAATTTGGTAGCACTTTGAGATGGCAGCCATATATATTTGTATATGTTTGTATGTAAGTTGTTTTGTTATTGCGCGCGCATTCACTCTAAGCAGGAGGCAGGAAAGGAAGTATCTTTTCACCAGTTTTTGTTTACAAACATTGTGCAAGGCGGCGGTTGTTGTGACTAACTCAAGAACGCAATAAAATTTCTACAATAAATGGGATTGACATGCAAAAAAACTAGAGTGGCTGTAAAAAAGTTTGAACCAGAAATTTGAATGAGTGATAGTGGTAAACGAATACAGAGCAACCTTGACATGTAGATATACAAATACAAATGTATGTAAACTATAGAGAATTAAAAAATACATGGTAGAATACGTTCTGTACAGGTTATGATTTGTAAAAATCGTTCAAAACAGGCCAATAACTGTTTGTATTTATGCAATGATTGAAAATTCGTTATGAAAAGGCTTTAAGTGCATATTATTTTGTGCACATTACCGTCGTGATTAAGTTCACTTGAAGCTGAACTCATCAAGAAGATAATACTGGAATATCTCAAGTTCATATAGCACCATAAACAAGAACTGCTGGACAGTGCAGCATAGCGACAGACTTTAAACGCTAGTTTCCTTCATGAAATCCCTTCCAGTGTATGGCGTGCTCAGTATCCAAGCACCAAGACTCGACATATCTAACGTGTATATGTCCTGCAGGCGAAGAGACCCCGCACGACATTAACCATATCTTCGCATTCCCCTTAAAACCGACTCATTTAATTCCACCGTTCCCTCTTTTTCGAACCTGACAAAACAGATCGTTTTCTGGAGCTCCCATCAGATGAATTCTAAGGCTTAAACCAGTCCGGCCTGCCAACTTTCCTACAATCAAAGCATAAGTGACTCATTTCTTATTTACATAAATACATATGTATGTCATTTTTATAAATAGTATTTCGTCATTTTATCTCATTTCATGCCATAAAAATTACATTACGAGTATTTACCATTTGTATAATCGTACTCTGCTTGCACAGTGTTACCAGACCTAATAAGCTACTTTTTATGGCTTCACTGAAATAAAAATAAAATTAAAATTAATGAAACTCATAAAATCAGAAAAGGACAGACGTAATTAATTCACACAAAGTGCAAAAGCAAAGGCAAAATGCAAAAGCAACACAAAATCTAATAGTTGTGTGATGACATCAGTTGCACTTTTTAAATTTATTCACTCTCAACGGTTGTTAGGAAAGGTTGCATAGGCACTCGCTACAAGGCACATGAGCTTATACTCGTTGGTATACATATGTATGTATTTCAACGGCAGCAGCAAATTGAAAATAGCGGCACCAACAGCAAAACTAACCGGCAAACGGAACAACAATATTGACTGCAACAACACAATAACATTACAATCAGCACCATCGGCATTTAGCTACATACATACGAGTATGCAATTATATTTATGTATGTACATATGTAACAACAACAACTAATACAACATTGACACCAATATAAATTTGCCGCATCGTCAACCTCGTCCAACCTCAATTTCGGCAAACTTTTATTCATTCTATGCCACCAAACAAAAACAACAACAACAACAACAACAGCGCATCGCATCTTCTTGTGTATGTCCACTTGACTTGATTCGCATTAGTCATTCTATACAAACAAATGTAACGAATAAAGAATTCCTACGAGTACAGAGCGTATACGACGATCGCCGGACCACATTTGCGGCACTTGGAAGCTCCCAAGCAATTGTTAGCTTCAGTTTTAGCTTGAAGCTTGTTGAGTGCGCAAGTAAATTAACCGTAAAATTGTGAAAAATACGAATTATTCGCTTTTGAATATCGCATTTACATATATTATTAGTGTAACAACAAAATCAAAAACTTAGAAAAAATGCCAGGTAAGTGAACGAGACGAGACGTTGGATCAGGATGTCTATATTGTAAAAGAAAAAGTGGAGCATGAATTAGAAAAGTGGAAAGAAAAATGCGATAAAATCAATTACAATAGAAATTAACTAGTAGTTGACGAATTTAACATATATATATATATATATATATATGTATATATATATGTATATATATGTGTAAATCTATATGAATCTTCGCCAATTCGCGTACTGTCAGTTAAGTGTCAATGTTAATAATGAACTAACGCTAATTTAATGAAACTTCATTGCATATCACTGTTATTAAGTTGCGTTGCCGTAGGCAAAATTTAAATTCAATTAATTTTACGAGCGGTTTTGAACTCAAAACTTTTGACTGTACCTTTTATTGGTCGTGATTCAGTATAATTAATTAAATTATGCTGGAATATTCTAAATTCATTACTTTTATTTGCATAAATATACTTATACGAATATATACATACATATATTACATATTTATATAAGTATATGTGTATATATGTATGTATATGAACAACAATTTAAATCAACATTGAGATTTGTTTTATGTAAATTTTCGAACATTATGTCATTCTCTAGTAATAGCACAAAGTAGGTAAACGCAGGCAGCGACTTCGTAAGTAAGTTCTAGGTGTGTTCTATAAAAAAAAAACAATAAGTTTATATGTATGTACATATAAAACCTTATATATAAGCCATACATCAGGACACAATAACCGTTTAACATATCTAACATACTTACATATTTTTCAATTTGTTTAATACTTGTTTTCCTTCTGCCGGTCACTAACAAAAACAAGCACAAGAAGAAGTAGCAGAAAAACAAACAACGTGAACGGACGAAAACAGCTGCCAGCCAGCTTTTAATAAAAATTATTTGCGTCGCGTTAGACGCCTTTCGACATTGAATACAATATACATATGTATATATACAATATATGTATGTATTATAACCAAAATCTAAGTAATATGCTGTGTGAATGTATGAATGTATGAATTGGTTCACATATGGGCAGTGGCTCCAAAAATAACAACACATACATATATGCATATGTATATACTCGTACATATATGACTTCTCAACGCTTTCTTTTTGTCTTTTAAGACTTTTCGCTTTATAAATTCTTCTTGGAATGTAGATAAATATGTATGTGTAATAAGTAGGTTGCATTTATTAGAGCGGTGATTCTTTCGTATAAATATGCATATGCATATATTTATGTATGTACATAAATATTTTTTATATATGTACAATTCTTTCTAGGTATTTATACAAGTGTGCAATTAATTTTTTAATTTTTGGTATTAAAAAAGTAAAAATAATATATTTTTAAAACGGGCTTTTTTTTAATGGTTTGTTAAAATATTTCAAAATATAAATATGTGTGTATGTTCGTAGATATTGTATTGTAGAAGACTTTTATGTAACGAAATCGCTATACATTATTCAATTTTCGAAAAAAATTAATTTTTAAGCGAAAGCAACTATAAACGTTCTTGGAAAAATACATGTGTCGGTTTCAAGCTTTATTTTTAAAAAACGAAGTTATACTTATTGCCTCAGTGGTATTTTCATTTTATTTTATTATTTTCCTTTATTTTTATTTTTATTATTTTATTTTTTATTTAAATTTTTTGTTTTTCTTATTTTCTGTTCTTATTTTATTTTTTGTTATTTTTTTATTAATCTTATTTTCTTATATTTTATTTTTATTTTTATTCACTTTACATTTTTATTTTATATTTATCATTTTATTTTACTACTTTCAATTTATTTAATTTTATTTATATTTTATTCTATCTCCTTTTAACTTATTTATTTATTTCGTTTTCTTTTATTATTTTATTTTATTATATTTTACTTTATTTAATTTCATTTGTATTTTGTTTTCGTTTTTGGAGATTTCATTATTTTTATCTTATTTTTTTGTGCTTTATTTAATTTTATTTTGTTCATTTTTTTCACTTTTTTATTCTTATTTTTTTTTAATTTTTCTCTTATTTTCTTAAGTTCATTTTTCATTGTTAAATATTATTTTCTTATATTTGATTACATTTCACTTTGTTTTTTTTTTCTAATTCATTTTATGCTATTTTCATTTCTTTTATTTTTTTCATTTTATTTTTATTTATTCAATTTATTTTATTATCAACCATTTTAGTATTTTTTTTTCATTTTTTCGTTTTAAAACTTTTTATTCGAAATATCAATTTAAACATAAGAAACACAAAAAATTCAAATTCCTTAAAAATTTTATTTTTTATATAAATTTTACATAGTTGTGGCATTTACAAAGAGTTGATATAAAAATTAACCTCAAATACATACACGTATATACATATGTATGACAATAACCAATAGTGATTAAATCGCTTATTTTTAAACAAATTACTCATCTTAACTCTTATCACTGAATGCTGCTATCAGCACGCCAGTCTGGCCTTTATCAACAAGTGACCCAAAAAAGGAAGAACTGTTTCTTGAGATGCGAACGACTTGGTTAGAATCTTTTTTTCTTCAGCAGATGGACTTAACTATGTACCGAGTGCCAAGAGAACGTCGCTTAAAAGTAAACATGGCATTGCTTAGTCTCTAAAACCGGTGCCTTTTCCAATATTTAGTACGCAAATTTCAGAACAGTCAATTTTCTATGGCTACCAATATTTCATTGCGAATTTGCTCTCCAACAACAATTCGAGAGTGAAATGCTTCAGAAAAAATTTGATTTTCTCTACTCTCCCCAATTTTTCGCCCACAAAAACTAGTACTTATTCAGTCCTAAGTTGATGCATATAATACCATTTTAAAACGTGGCAAAAAAATTATGAAAGATAAACTAGTTGTAATAGAAGTACAAATTGGTCGTAGTTAGCAACTACTTTCTTCCCTTTTTACATACACAAATATAATATTGAGCCATATCCAGATTTGTGTGTATATTTACCCACAACATTTCAATCTAGTTTTGCTTATATTTATTTTTAATAAATCACATCATATTATTATGTATACGAAATGCGAAATGACTCAGTTAATGTTTTCATGTATGTATGTATATCGTTTCACAAACTATCATCATTGATAGCGTCATTGTAGAGACATTAAATCACTCATGAATATTTCAAACCGGTTACATTACTATGTTTTCGTGATTATAAGTACATATATACATGCATATACATAAATGCATATTTTTTTTTAAATTTTTCTTACAAGGTTTGTCTATACAAAAATATTAAAAATAATAAAACATTAACAAAAATTTAAATAAAAATAAAAATTAAATTAAAAAAATAAAACATAAAATAAAAATTGAAAAAAAAATATTATCAGGTCACACAGAACAGTAATTAATCTAAACAATTGTTTCTTGTTTTCCGCCATATATTATATTAAAAATAATTAAATAAATAAAAAAAATTTAAAAATTTAATCAAAATTAAAAAAAAAAATAAAAGTAAAAAAGTCAGTAATTCATTTAAAAAAGTATATTTTAAATACAATTTAAAAAATTAAAAAAACAAAATTCAAAAAATTCAAAATGTAAACAAAATTAAAATATATTGAAAAAATTAAAGGAATAAAAACTAAAAAAATATAACCAAAGTTTAAAAATAAATAATTAAAAAAATATCATTAAATAAAAGCCTTTCAGTAATTAATTTATAAAAAGTATATCTTGACTACGGCTGAAAATTAAACATAGAGAATTAAAATAGCAAAATAAAATGTATATAAAATGTATTAAAATAGCTAAACAAAATTGAATAAAAAAATAATAAAAAGTCACAGTGAGTTAATCTAAAAAAATTATTTGACTCAAAAAAACACATTAAAATCTTTTTAAAAATTAAATAGAAAATAATACAGATTTCGATTAAAAAAAATATTGCAAAAGTTAATCTAAAAAAATATTACTTGACTTCATCTAAAAATTAAAAATAAAAAATTTCACAAATTTAAACAAAACATTAAAAAAGTAAAAAATTAAAAGAAATCACAAAAAAATTATCAAAATCAAACATAATAATAATATGAGGTCACAACACAGTAATTAATCTAAAAAAAATATTGCTTGACTTCGGCTAACAATTAAAAATAATAAAAAAAATTTTAAAAAGGTATTTATTAAAATTAAATGAAAGAAATAAAAATAAAAGTAAAAGGATACGAGGTCACAATCAAATAATTAATCTAAGACAAATATATTAATAATAATAAATTTAAAAAATTAAAAAAATAAAAAAAAATAAAAAAAAAAAATATATAAAAAAAATAAAAAATAAAAAAAAAATAAAAAAAAATAAAAAAAGAATAAAAAATTAAATAAAAAAGGATAAAAACTCGTTTAAAATTAAAAAATAAAAGAAATTAAAATAGCTAAAATAGAAAATTAAATAAAAATTGAATACGAAAATAATAAGAGGTTACAATACAGAAATTAATCTAAAAAAATATTGCTTGACATCATCTAAAAATTAAAAATCAAAAATTTTAACAGAACATTAAAAGAGTAAAAAATTTAAAGAAAATACAAAAAAATTATAAAAATCAAATGTAAAAATAATATGAGGTCACAACACAGTAATTAATCTAAAAAAATATTGCTTGACTTTGGCTAATTTGAAGAAAATGTAGTAGTAGGTGGCGGTCACTGCCCATAACTACAATAATATTTGTGCGTCTTCGTGTCAAGCTAATTTTGTTTTCGCTGTATTTTTTTACGAAAAAAAAATAATAATTAAAAAAACACCTAACGGCGCCATAAATAAAATAAATAAATTAATAACAGTTGAAAAAAAAAATTAAAAAATATATGTGTATGTATTTTAAGTCAAAAAGACATTAAAGAAGGCGGCAAGCACAAATGTATGCACAAATAATCGGACTCATACACAGGCTTTTGCATTATTTAGCGAATAAACGAGCTTTTTTTCAACGGTTTTTTTCCTTTATTTTTGCTTTTCTTTTTATTTATTTCTCTATTACACCCATTATTCGTGCAATTAGCACAACCGGTGGGTACAATACGCAAGGCGAACAAACAATAAAACAAACATACATACAAACAGTTTGTGACTTAGATTTGAAAAAAAATCTCGTTTTAGCAATAAAATTAAAATAAAAACGCACTAAACAAATATACATGCATATGTACGTATGTATGTACACAAATAAAACTACATTTATACATATAATTGTATATTAGTTACCTAGAAGATTCTAGCCAGTCAGTCAAAGTCAGTTTAAAGCTATGCTCAGACAGCATGATGTCATACCTTCCTATACATACCATATATATACGTGTATGTATGTATTGTTTTTGCTTTTATTTACTTCTCTTTTTGACCCTATTCTATATCGGCTTTTTGTATAAAAAAAATCGTTTTCTATTTGTTGAAATTGCAAAATAAAATTTCTCATGTGATCTATTTTTGTTGTTGCCTGCGATTTTCACATCATACTACGGACACACATACATACATTCATATATTCGTACTTAAGTATAAAAGTGCTAAATTTTTGATTGTTGAAGTCTTAAATTGGAAAATTTTTCCAAATAAAATTTTTTTTCTGATTCTTACCTTCTCAGTATAAGAAGTTTAGGAGACAAAGAACAAGATAGTAACGGTGTCGTATTAAGTATTTATTACTTCATCCTGTCCTCGTAATACTGGCTCACCCGCACTGTGAAAATATGTAAAAACAGCACCTTGAACACGCTTCCATCACTAAAAACTGGGAAACGAACTCCCTCTGAGTGAGATTTTTTTAGTATCGAAGTCATTAACGTTCGCTGACGAGGGTAGGCCACATTAAATAAATATTTTGTCTTTCAAAATTTGTAAGAGAATTTGCTTTGGTCGAGCACGCTCAAAGCGCCGGTTTCACAAAGTCTTACATACGCTCTATCTGCCGTCTACTGACTTCAGAGTCTACCATGCTAAGAAAAATCTTCTTGATCGATGCGGTAAAAAACCCTCAGCAGTTTATAGTTCAACTCTACGTCTAATATGTCGTGTCTGTTTTCATATTCTTCCAACAAATGGACGAACCTGTAGCTTTAAGCCGTCTCCTAGGCAGCACGGAGTGGTTGAGGCGGCCGAACTTAGGAAAAACTTCGTTATTGGGGTGTTAGTCTGATGGGGCCATGAGGCTGCAGTGGTTAGGTCGACATCCATCATTCAATCATCGGTCTGAGTGGGCTAAACTGATATCATGGAAAGCCTCGTTATCTTTGAATGGGTTCAACTGGTTCGTGCCTGTTTTGTAATGTGCTTACGGTGCTCTAGCAAGGATTTGAAGGTTATTGATCAAACTAAGTATCGAGATTGCATTCCAGTTTTATGTATATCGAAGTTTCTCACCGCTGCCATCAAAGAATTTTAATTGCAATAGGCCTTGCGAACCTCCAGATGTAGGTTTAATTTAATTCGACGTTTGAGTCGTGCATAGGATGTCAACGGTTTTTCCAAATTCCCTAGTTGTCAAATACGCATTCTAGTTAAAGCCAGGCAAAATCGGAGTAGGTATTCCTACGGCTTAGACACAGTCCTTAGCACCTCCGGTATTTCATATCCTGACTCAGACCGCCAGATGGATGCAATAAGCTCTTACATATCCCCTGTCTCCTGGAACCCAGTAGATATGCAATTGCTAAGATGCAGCCACCTTATCCACTGCTTTCCTGCTTATATTACTTGTCGACTCTACAGAAGAAGCTACAGCAGCGGAATACATCGATAGAGCAAGAGTTGTCTCCACACTTCCAGGAACTTCAGGCTGGTAACCGTTTGAGCTTCCTCTAGGGTAGTGAATGAACTAAATTGTACAACAAAGTAGACTTTCAAACCACTCTGCTTCGTATAAGCAAATATTTAGCACACGAAAACCTAGTTTAATTGGCACTTAATATAAATTTATTGTTAGAAAATATGAAAGCTTTCCACTGTTCGATTTTTCGCACTTTAGAAAGGCCTCTCAATTTATTTATCACATTTCTAATAGAACAATTAACTCGTCTTTCATTACAGAAGTCAACACACCCGACAAATTGGAATACCAATTCCATCCAGTCTCCGGCGGTGTATTCACATTCAAAGTGCGTGCCGCACACGATGCCCACTTGGCATTAACCTCTTCACCCGTCGAAGCAGAGCCCATGTATGAGGTATTCATCGGTGGTTGGGATAATACCAAATCGGTAATCCGTAAGGATCGTCAAAAGCCCGATGTGGTCGAAGTGCATACACCTGGCATTTTGGAAGCTGGTGAATTCCGTGGTTTCTGGATACGTTGGTATGACAATGTCATCACCGTTGGACGTGAGGGTGAGGCTGCTGCTTTCCTCTCGTACGATGCACAAAACTTATTCCCCGTTAACTTTGTGGGCGTATGCACCGGTTGGGGTGCCAGTGGCACTTGGCTTATAGATGGTAATTTCTCACTTTACACATTTGCACATTTGCTTCCCTTTACTAATAAATATTCCAAAATTATTTTATACACGCAGAGGCACAACCGGCCAGCGCACCAGTTTTGGGTTTCGCTCCTCCCTGTGGCAGCGGTCCTGGTTGTTGGGTACCAGCTGCTAACGGCACTGTGCCACCCAGCGCTGTCGAGGGCGGTTTCGATGGCAGCGAACAGTTGTACATTGCACGCGCCCGTCATGAGGAGGATCTCATACCCGGCAAACTGCATCCATCACATGGTGTCTGCTACGTAGCCTATGGTGGCGGTGAACACGGTCATGGTGAATACGAAGTTTTATGCTCCGGTGGCGGTCAATGGGTGCCCGTACAGAGTGGTCAGATACCACCAAACGCCTTCCCCGGTGGCGAAACGGCCGAAGGTGAGCCACTATTCATTGGACGTGCCACACACGATGGTACCATCACCGTAGGCAAAGTCCAGCCATCTCATGGCTGCTGCTACATTCCATATGGCGGTGAGGAGTTGGCCTACAAAGAGTTTGAAGTTTATGTTTCTTCTTAAATCTGAAAACGGAGAATACACACACATGCACACACACACACACATTTACACTTACACAGCATTGCACGATTTAAACAAAAAAGTTAAGCATTAAATATCTATTCAAGTTGAAAATGAAGTGTAATGTAACTATGTATGTAAAGTACTCGTAGAAGCGCACAAAACGCACTCAATTAAGCTGTTAATGATGATTGAAAACTCGAATATCTGTAATTATGAATATATGCCTGTACATTTAACGAAATTGTTGATCGATCAAATTGTATTTAAATGAAAAATGTTAAATAATTTAATATGAAGAATCTCAATCTATGAAAACGTCAAAAGATTAATTATAATTTATCTTGTATTCCATTTTGCTCAGACTGTTAAAGCGTTTAATCTGTTAAAAATCAAAGGTAATTACTTTTATATAATTTATTTGCTTGGAAATTCTATTTATTTTTTATAAAAAAAACAACGGAAAATAGTTCTTTAAACGTGTTTGTATGTATGTACATATATAAATGCATAGAATTGAATAAATTATGAAAGGAAATTGTTGCAAACACGAAGAGAAGAGTTTGTTTTTATGTTACTACTGTGGGCAAGAAGTAAGGTGAATTTTTAATTTGAGCTTCGGGCATTTATTAAATTCTTAATTAATTCTTTTTTTATGTTGGTAGTACTGTTACTGATATCTACGCCAAATTTCATGTCAATGTGATCATTGGGCTATCAGAATGTGCAAAAAAGATCAGAATTATAGGTCAACAATTCTTGGTTTTCGCATCACGGTAATGCACCGTCGCACACAGCACTCATACTTCGTGACCATTTCGCTAAAAATTCCACGAATATCGTTCCCCAACCACCATATTCGCCGGACGTAGCACCATGGACTGCTGGCACTGCCAAAAACTCAAGAGACCACTTCGAGGACACCGTTTCGAGTTGATTGAGGAGTTTGAACGTGAATCGGCGCGCTCTCTGAAGGCCATATCAGAACGTGACTATTTAACATGCTTCGATAATTGGAAAAAAGCGTTTGGCATAAGTGCATTGCATCCGCAGAGTACTATTTAGAAGGCGACGAAATCGATGTAGAAGAATAAATAAAGATTTTTAATTTTACAAGCAAATTCATCTTACTTTTTGCCCACAGTATGTTGTATAAATAGCAAATGCATAAGGGCCTTGTAACAGCTGAAGAAATTCCTGGGGTGTCGCTTTTCCAATTTATGGCCCCTCAATGTTTTGCCAACAAATGGAGAGACCTAAAATTTATTCTACGCCGCTTTCGGAGAGCCGATGGATTTTTATAAAGAGCCTTTATTTCTTATTATGGCAGGTAGACACTCCGAGGGGCTTAACAATGAAAGGGGAAGAGCTCCACTCCATTGGAGAAGGAAGTGACAATAAAGGATTAGATACTTTCTCACAATAAGTCAGATTGTAACTTATATGCGATATTTTGTGTTGAGCATATTTAGGCACCCTACCAGTGCTGCGCCTTCATATTTAATGAGCTCAGCGGGAAAGCCATCGTTTTCACTTCTTTATTGCTCTTCAGACTGGCTGCTGCTCATCGTGCTTTTTTATAGTTATTTTTACTGTCGATCTCTCAAATTTTCTCAAAGAAATTTCGAACCAGCTTCTCGAGCTCTCACTTTTCCTGCCTAAAAATGCAACTCATTAACCTATTCAATTTTCGGTATCCCTCACACACAGGAAAAGACATCTTTCTCTTCTGCATTATGAATTACCAATGAGTGCTCTCAGAGTGTAGGTCGAGTAGAAAACCGAGGTGTAACCTTTCTTGTGCTTGTTAGCGGGTGATCTTTCATGCCAGATAGAGGTCTCAGCCGATTTTAAGTCTTCCGAGCGTACGCACATCGTTCTAGTTACGAGTTTTCGATGCGGAGACAGCCATGCAGGCTTGATAACTTTTTGTACACAACAAACAACGAGATTTCCCGAAAGTCTCGACAAAGTCGAGCAGCTTCAACCAATGTGGTGATGATTCGCTTTGGACACAGCTTTTCCAACTTCTTCCCTCTGCCTTTCTTGTCCACCTTGTTGCTTGATGCAAAAATCGCCAAACACAATTTTCACATCGTGACGGAGGAATCACTGATAAATACGCTCCAGGCGCTCAGGAAGAGCAGCCGTGCCACACTGCAAATGTGACTAAGCCTTGTGCGGAGCCTTCAGGCACAGCTAAAGAGAGAAGGAATTTTAGTGAAGCCACTGCGACATATACGATATAAAGATTCACTGGACGCTATACCGTTGCGTCTTAATTCTGCTCCTGAGGTTGCTTTGAACTTACCTCTTTCTATTCAACTTTTAAAAAGATCAAAAACACAGTTTTGTTTTTTTTTGTTTTTAGATTATAAATGCAATGTTTAAATGTTTTTCCCTTGCATTCATGTCAGTACGTATTTATTTATTTAATTGTTTTTTTTTTTTATTTTATTTAATTTTTGTAAAACTGGATTAATATTCTATACTTCTATATATATACTTTAGTTTAAGTATATTTGCATGTATGTATGTATGTATGTGTTTGCCGTTTATAATTTTCATTCCTTTATGCATGTGTGTATGTTTGTATGTGTATATATTTATATGCTCAAACATTTAATATGTATGTAAGCAATTTTAATGTTTGTATGTATTTATGTATGTACGAGTTATAACGCTTTTAAAAATTTCAACTTGACTGGTTTTTTATTCAATAATATCTATTTTGTTTATTTTATTTATAAGTTTTTTTCAACGACCATTAGTCGTAAAATATTGTAATATTGAACCCGCCTAACACTTCTTACAAGACGTTTGCTAACTCAGATAAATTGTTTAAATATCCTCATTAGTTTTATAAATTAAGTACACACTTTTACTTTATTTTTTTTTTTTAATATCATTTTTGGACTTTTTGTAAACTACGAACTGGTTTGTGTGTGTGTGTAACTGTTTTTTTTAACTTTTTTCGCAGGCGTTTGACATGAGCAATGATCCCTTTAAAAAACGTGTAAAAATTAATTCATTAAAAAAAAAATAAATAATGATAATAATAATAAAAAATAATTAAATACACAAATATAAATAAAATAAAAAATAATTAATAATAATAATAAAAAGTAATTAATAATAATAATAAAAAGTTAATAATAAAATAGTTAAGAATAAAATAAATTAATAAGAATAATAATAAAATAAAAAAATAACTAATCATAATAATAAAAAGTTATTAATAATAAAATAATTAGTAATAAAATTAAAAAAAAAAAATAAATAAATAATAATAATAATAATAATAAAATATAATTAAATATACAAATAATAATAAAAAATAATAATAATAATAAAAAGTAATTAATAATAAAAAGTTATCAATAATAAAATAATTAGTAATAAAATTAAAAAAAAATAAATAAATAATAATAATAATAATAAAAAATAATTAAATATACAAATAATAATAAAAAATAATAATAATAATAATAATAATAATAAAATAAAAAAATAATTAATAATAATAATAAAAAGTAATTAATAATAAAATAATTAATAATAAAATTAAAAAAAAATAAAAAAAATAATAATAATAAAATAAAAAATAATTAAAAATAAAATAAAAAATTATAATTTATAATAAGTTTAAAAAAATTAATTTAAAAAAATTAATAAAAAAAATTAATAAAATATAGCAATCTTTTAAAAATTCGAAAAAGATATACAAAAAAATAAAAATGATAAATAAATGAGTTTACAAAAAAATTAAATAAATTAAAAAATAATATACGAAAAATTTAAAAAAATATTACAGCCTAAGAGAAAACTATTTAAAATAAAAATAATAAGAAATAAAATATAAAAATTAAACAAAAAATACATGAAAATAATACATAAGGAAATAAATACATTTGCATTATTATTAAATTACAAGAAAAATGTATAACATTAAGACAAAAAAAAACAAATAAATATAAAACAAATAAAAAGTAATACATAAATAAAATTTTATTATGGAAAATTAAAACAAGTAAATAAAAAATATTTAATAAAGTATAAAAAAGCAAAACTTTGGAAAAGTATAAAAAACTAGAAATAAAATATACAAAAATTAAAAAAAATTAATAAAAGTATAAAGAATTTAAATATAAAAACAAAAAAAATCAAAATACAGAAATTTAAAAATATATATTACAAAAGAAAATAGAATGACATTGATTTAAAATTTCTACAAGTTCAGACAAATATAAAGCTCTAAA